GCAATGACAAACTCCTGTTAGAGCTCTCCTGTCAAAGCATTTATTCTGCCATAACAGGTAAGTCTTAACACACTTACTTCTTGCTTTATAATTTCACTATGATTCAGAGTGGTCCCAGTAATCAAAACAGGAGATATTCCTTTCTATCCTGCAGATGAGAACTAGGTAGTTAAATGGATGTTTCTAATACCCCACTATTTATACGAGTTTGCATATGGTGAATTAATGCGGTAGGTCCATGTATTTCCCTCTGAACAAAGAAATGGCAAAAAAAATTGATTTGTACTTGGTTCTATTGTATGTGGGTCTAGGTTACAGTGTTTATCTCTGCACTATACAATACCACACTAGAAATAGAGTTACATAGCTTAGAAAATCAAAATTATGGCAGTTCTCTTACTCTGTAAAAGCATAAATGATTACAGAAGGCTTTTAAAACAGATTTTTAAACTATTTCTATGAATCTGATGAACAGGAGGGCATTTTTACAACACTTCGGCAGAGTAAAGGGGCCTTAAAAGTGTGAACAAGCTGCTGTCATATTGCAAGGATATCAAAGTGATCGAATGTTATAAAAAGCAGCCTTAGCCTTGACCATGCAATTCTTTTTATACCAACTGAGCTATGGCAGCAGCTTCTGTGGTCACTTCTGGTCCATGGGAAATAAAAGTACCATAGCTTCCCAACATGCTGTCTTAGGGAACTTCCATCTTATGCTTGTCATAGACTAAAAGCGAACTCTGACTGCAGACCAGCTATATCCACTCCCTAATATTCCATGCATCTTCCTGTGTCATTGCAACTTGATCATGTGCTTGAGCTTTAAAGGTCTTAGCAAAGCAGAAAAGCCCGTCTTTCAGTGCAGCATAAAATCAAATGTTATTTCCCTCCAGCAAAATCACAAACTGGTAATTAGTGCTTATGCAAGGCACTAATGATGCTATAGGAATAAGCAGATAGGCAGGTACACTGCATGTCTTACCACTGCCCTCAAGGAAGCACTGCCAGATGGCTGCAGGCCAGTACTTTGACATGCTCTGATACACGGATCACCATTAACCTTTGCAGAACAAGAAGCTGCAGAATCACAGTGACCAATTTCCAAAGTTAGGAATAAAAATTGTCATCTGGCAAACTAAGGCATGAAATCAACTCCATCCTCCCAAGATGAGCATTAATCCTCCTGCATGTCAGCTTTTCTCCCGGATCTTCTTCAATTTAAAACCTTTCCCGTTGTCTTGAATCTACTGTTCTCATTTAGGTGAGGTAGAAATTCAGAGGCCATACAGTACAGGAGGAAGTTCTCTTGTCTATCTCATCCTGCTTTCCCAGGAACACGGTCTGCATTGGCATTAATATCCAGCTCTGCAGGCAGGCAGAGTCAGCAAGACTGACTGCTAAGGACTCAGAAGTGGATTTGTCAGTGCAAGCCACCAATTACCTGTCAAAAGACCTTCCAGGAGCCGGTGAGCAAGACAGTTATTTGGTGTGATTCTCCCCTTGAAAGAAAAATTGAACTTACATTAAACGGTCATAGGGTACAGGGGGACAGTGATACTCTTGTCTCACACAAATTATTCCTACTGTTCTGCATGTCACAATTAAGCTACCTCTCCAGAAAGTTTCGTGCATCTGGCCATATGGTGCCCTGGGGCTGCTGGTTCCCCCTGGGCTGGGAGCAGGAGGATAAGAACTTCTGAACACCGCAGGCTTTCCCTCCCCTCATCCATTCGTTTCAGATTGCTAAAGACGAACGTGTTTGTATTTGTAGGGTATGTTTCTGGTGATGATCCACATAAAACACACAGCACACAAGTCCCAGTGAGACCCCGCTTTTCGCCCTTAACCAGCATCCTGGGCTCGTGCAGCTTGTTCAGACAGCTGGGCTGCACTCGCTGCTAGCTCACAGAAGTGAATAGCTCGTCACTGCATACTGCTTCTGTGCTTAAATACCAGCGATTTTACAGTTGAGATAATACATCCTCCTAATGTTACTTCCAAGAGACTATTTGCATATGCAACCAATCAGGAGGTAACCATGGCAGGCAGCCGTTCTCAGTAAGGTTTTCAACTTAAATATTCATCACGCAAGGTAACTTCCCAGCAACTTCCCAGCAACAGGAGCCGAGGCCCGCCCAGGTTCAACAGCACGGGAATGCGGGAGAGCAGGAGGAAGAGGAGAGGGCCAGAAGGAAGAAAGGTACAGAAACGAGAATGGCTTATTTGTTTCTCACATTTATTCCCTGGGAATCAAAATACAGTAAGATAAGTATCAAGAGTGCCAAAACATGAGAAGTTGTGAAAGACGAGCTAATTATAGCCATTGTTTAACAGATGGGAAAGCTGAGACCACGACAGGCCAGCAAACGTAAGACAGGGCTCTATAAAGACCACGGAGACGTTAAATCAGTGCACCTCCTCAACCTTCCATCTCATCAGTTAGTTTTAAAGCCCAACTGATTCATGATTCCAAACTTCTCCCTACCAGTACTTCAGTCTGCAAAAAATAATGGAAAAATAGTAAGTAATAGAAGTCTAAATTATCTCGTGTTCAGACTGAGAACCCTGGCTTTAGCAAATCCTCCCAGCTACGGTGCGTTGTTCCAGAAGGCTTGCAGACCAGGCTGTTTTCACACTGAGAAAAAAACTTTACCTTATAAAATACTAAAAATGAAGAGGAGCTTTAATGAAACAAGATGTTTCCCCAAAAAGTTTCCAAACTTGTCTGCTATAGAAATATTGATGCAAATTTATAAAGTTGATCCAAAATCCAAAGAGTTGATCCAAAGTCCAGAGACCTCATTCTGGTTTTAATGCAAAATGAGCTAGGCACAGTGACAGCTTAAGGATTCAGTTTGTGGGGTGTCTGTACAACCTCCGTGCTAGAGGTAATTGTTTTAGAGATCCAGCTCCCCGGTGATTCAAGTTCTGCAATGATGCTGATGTCAGGAGTCAAAAAGAGTTCACACCAGAAAAAGGGCAGACCCCTAATACAGCTTAGATCAGTAATATGCACAAAAATGAGCAGAAAAGCCTCCTTTTGGTTCTGCTTTACAGTAGGGTAAACAAGGAGGCGAACAGGCAAGAACCGTCAGACCCCCCAGTGTCCATGTTTCTTACTGGAAAGGGGCAAAAGCAGTATTTTGAAGTTATTTGGAAGGTCACATTAAGGGGAAGGATGGGAAAGTTTTCCAAAACGTTTGGCCTTGATTAATGAGTATGCAGAGCACAAACCCACATGCACTTCAGGAACAGATGGCCTTGCTTTGGCTTTGTTGTCACCAAGCAGCTTCTTTATTATTTTTAACCCAAAACATTACTTATTCCTACCAAGTACCTAATTCTGCGTGAAGAGAAAGGGGAAAGTGTAGGAGACAGAGGAAGACACCTCCTGATTTCAGGAAGACAAGCACGTAAGAGGCAGCAGCAGGCAGAGGCAGGCTGCCACGGGCAGGGCTCTGCTCCACGCATGCAGGGGCAACATCCATCCTGCTCCAGCAGAGAGGATATTTAGGTGGAAATGCCCCCCTGAAGATGCCATCTCAGGAACCCAGCGAGAGGTTTTTGTAGCTGTGTGTGCCCCGTGTCCCTGCGTGAGAACAAAGCCAGGGAAATCCTAGGGACAGCGCACCTTACTGGGAGAATGATTTCCCCACAGAGCTAATAATTTCTTACTGATATTTCACAGGCGGTGTTTTAATGTTTATCCCTGGCCCAAATAACAGGTGGCATCTGAAAAGCCAGGCAGCAGCCCCCAAAATCCTTCACAGAAATAAAATCTTGAAGGGATTTTGGAAGTCATATTCATCGCAGGCTAAAATTATCTGCCATTTGACTAAATTGTTTCATTAGGACTCAGAAGCTTCTGGAGAGACTTGTGTTGTTTTTCACAGCAATGACTGGATTACAGGGATAGTCAGGAGCGCCGGATCCTCAGAAGCCAGCGATAAGGAATTATGCTTCGCCAACATGATGCTCTTTAATCAGCTAAGTCCCACAGGAAGGGATAACTCTGCCTTCCCCAGCTGTGCCTGGTGTGCAGACACAGCCTCCCTGGCTTAATCTACAACATTCAGATACTCAAGAAAACCTTTGTTTGCCACAGTCAGCCTGCCCATGCTTTACTAGCCCATGATAACAAGGGCTGTGTGATACTGAATCAGTACACAGCTCAGCATTGAATAATTATAAGAATTTATTTTTTCCCCATTGTTTACTAATTAGTTTCCCTACTTAGCTAACAGAATAGCAGACTATGCTGAGAAGCAGCAGCAAATAAATCCCTCTCCTTAGTTAGCCAACAGACAAACCCCAGCTTGAATTTGCCAAGGAAGAGCAGCTTCTTTTCCTGCTTTTAAAATAGCAAAACATACACTGTACTGCCAAGGTGCCAAACCAGTTATCAGCAGGTGGACATGGCAAACTGGAAAAAGAAGAGCCACAGTTTGGGATTAGATTTGGCTTGTGCTGTGCTCCTGACCTTGCTGTCAGGATGGTGTAAGGTGTACCCGTAAAACAAACTGGAACCTAGCTCAAGTCAGCAGCTGCCAGCAGCGAGCCAAGATGCATCTGAAGAGCAAGAATATCCTGCTCTCACGGCTGGCATTTTTTGGATGAAACACCTCACCTCTTTTGTAACGCAAGCATATCTCCCTCCTCTCGCAGGGGTATTGAGAAAGGATTCACGGAACACAGAAAGCAGCTCTGGCTGCTGTACAGCTGCATTATGAAAATGACTAAAGACCCCAGCTGAGACAGGGAAAGCCACAGGAAGAACGTGGGCCTTGAAGTGAAACCGGAATGGCAGCAAATTGGTCCTGTAGATAACGAGTGCTGCCAGGCACCGCATGGAGCCACAGCAGCAGCCCCAGCCACGTCCCGGCCTCAAGCCCCCCACGGCTGCCAGAAGCTCAGGGGCAGAGGTGGGCAGGGAACAGGGGGGCTCTGGGATCTCCTTGCCACATACTTTGCAAATATCTCACGGGTAGGGACCAGCCTACCTCTGCACCAAGGGCTAACAGCAGAGCTCTGCATCTTGCAGCTGGCTTGGAGGATCGCTGAGGAGCCATACGCACGTAGCAGATCAGCTTTCTGAAACCTGGGGGGTAAAAAATAAGAAAAAAGAAAGAGTCAGCCTGGACAAACATCTTTGTATATTTCATCTGATGGCGGATAGGGGTGAAATTTCAAAACCTGCACATCAACAATGCAGTATGTGACACTTGGGTCTTTCACAGAAATTGAAAATGGAAATGTGTCAAGAGATCGATTTCAAATACCTTGTTTCATTTTGCTAATTAAAATAAATAGATCATGCATATTTACATATACTATATTTAATATCTTTCATGATGCTTCAGAAGTACAAAAATAATCATTGATGGCTCAGTACCTTTTTATATCAACTCAAACTCTGGCAAAAGAATTTAAATTTCCATTTTGTATTCTATTTCAAGAAAGTGCATTTCCAAAAGGTCAGGATTTCCAGCATGTTGAAAATACCATTTTCCTACACAGGCCTACTTGAAATCTATTCGGAGACAGGTACTGCAGCTATTACAGCAACCTCGCAGAGCAGTCAGCTCTGAGTCTTTCTGTGTACATCTTCCACGCGTCACACTTGTGGCAGCTTGCTAAAAGCAACATCAAGGAAAATAAAGATCTTTTCTTGATAGAGGACATTCAAGGTGAGGTTTTCTTTAAGCAAAGAAGGTTTGTACATGAAGGAACTTAGGCAAAAAGTCTCTTCTTTAAATGAAATATTCTGGTGCAGGGTACCTTCTCTGCCAAGGGAAGAAGAAAGCTTTAATACTCACTTGAAAAGGGAGTTTAGCCTAGGTCACGATGCAAGTTTTGTTTTCAACTCTGAGGATGGAAGTGACAGCTCACGGCCACCCCGAGGTGTCCACAGAAGCCAGCACGAGGCTTTCTGTTCCCTCCCGACCCTTGAGGTCTCTCTGGTGGCAGCTCTGAAGGGGGCTGCTGCTCAGACCAGGGGCTGAGGGTGGAATTCAGGAACTGCTTTCCAAGGACACACGCACACAGAAGCCTCTGTGCTCTTCACACCCTGAGAGATGCTGAAGACCGACCTGGAACCTGGTGCTTTTACAGCCTTTCTGGGCCCCAGTTCAGAAAAGCTTTTAAGCAAGTGCCCAAATCCCTCTTCATAAGAGCCAGTCCTTAAACACATACCTGCTATATTGAACTGAGGACAGCAAGAAAATGCAGGAGGTAAGGTACAAAAAGGGCGTTCAGACTGTACCACTTATTTTAAAGTACTCAATATCAGTAATGTTCCTTATTTTATAGGGGTGCCTCCTTTTCCCTTAAGGCTTTCTTCCATTATGCAGTAGTACAGTACATTTAACCACAAGCTGAGCAAACCCTTCCCTTTTTTTCCCCTTGCTCCTCGAATCTCGGGCTTTTAAAATCTCATTTGAGATGCCAGGGATTCATGTTTAGCTGCCATCCCTGAAGATGGAGTAGAGGCAATAGAAGACACCCAGCCCATTAGGCAACATGGTACTTAGCTCCCTGAAGACTGTACTCAAAAAAAGAAAAAGAAAAAAAAAAAAAACACGCAGACTTTTAAGACTAATTGGTTCCAAAATATACTCCCCATTCGCTCCCATTATAGCCCCTCTAGGGATAACTTCAGTGAAATAACTGGTGATATTTAGGTAGCTGACGCTAAGCAGGCTGCGCAGGGAGACTGCGGAAAATAGTCCCCAGGCATTTTTGTCACCCAGCTGTTCAAATGTTTAAGCTTCATAAAAATGCACCTCCCTGATAGCCTCTTGGTTTGTCTTTGTCCTCTCAAGCTCCATAACAAACCTTTTCGGGACCTGTGCTCACCTCTAGCACAGGAGGCTCCCTGAGAAGCCGTTCCCTCTCGCATTTGTTAATCTCCCAGATGACATTCACCAAACCCCAGCTTGGCATTTTCTGTTCTCTCGTTCCAAAATTCCCATTACCCACTGCACAAGGCTCCAGCTCCATAACCGATGCTGAATTGAAAAATCAATACTATTTTGAGGAAGAAGCTTTGATAAATAAACAGAGTATTTTAAACCAGGTAGCATCCTGAGCCAGGGAGAACTTACCCCAGCCTCCAGCAGCAGCCAGCATGGCCCTGGAAAACTGTTCCTAGTGCAGTGCTGTCAAATCTACAAAAGGTGGGAAAATTGAAGTTCTGCTCGTGGTCCAAACTCAGTTTGTGGCATGAGATTTGTTGTACAAGCACAAGATCCTGAAAGCTGGGGATTTCAGATAAAAGTCAAGCTTTCCTGATAGTGGAGAATAGCTTGAAAGTAGACAACCGCATGGCAAAAAATCTACACCCTCAGGACTTATCTGCAACAAATCTGTGTTCTCCAGTAACAACACGGCTGTTTTGAGACGATTGATCTTACAAATCTGGGGCCAGACAACATTTTCTGTACCACTGCTTGTTAGTTTGACAGGCTTGCTCTCCTTGTCTGAAAAAATGGGTCTGACCACCCTTGCTTTTGCTGCTTTAATCTGTTAAACCACCCGAGATGCTCCAAGCAAGCTATTACCAGTACTCCAGCTGTGCATTTTACTACAGCAGGGAGGAAGAGAGGAGCATTTTATGGAGACGTGGTGTTTTAAAACTTCTGTTTGCACATGTTAATTGGGATTAGTCTAACATCTATTATACTTACGGCTCAAAGCCTATTGTTAAGGAACACAAGCAAAGTTGTTCTGGAAAAAAAAAAAATAAAAAAAACACGAGGCTAGGAATTGAATTGCTTGCATGTTTTGCCTAAAAAGCTTCTATTTGGAAGCCAAAACTCTCATGCTACCTAGAGCTTGTGGTGTTCATTATCCTAAAAGAAAGCAGAATTTAAAAACTGATGATGGGGACCAGGTGTTTAAGATGACAGAGTGATCAAAGGGCAACGTGCTGTTGTAGCAGCACGACAGGAGGAAGCAGCAGGTCAGGGAAGCTCTCCCTCTGAAAGCAGGGGGATGGAGTAGATAAAAACATGCAGGTAGAAAGAATATCTGCTCTTTAACTTAATTCAGTTACGAATATTCTGGTACTGCTCGCTAAATTCTTTAAGCAAAAAAATTACCCAGGCCTGTATTTAGCTGGGCCCTCTGCGCTGCATGCCTAGCAAGCACAGTTCATTGGCACCACCCCACCCAACTCCTTCCTTGGTTTTCTTCCACGTCTAACGAGACACCTGACACTCCTAAGTGCTTTGCTTCTGAAAAAATACAGCTCTCCGTTCTCTAATTAGCTACACCACATCTATTAGCCTGCAAACAGCCTCACTTAACATCTCCAGTCCCACTAACGTGGCTTTAAGCACAGTTTTCCCAGCTTTGATACCTGTGACAAGGCTAATTGCTACTCTTGCTGTTTGTCACATTTCAGATGGTGTTGACAGCACTTTATTGAAAAATAAAGAGAAAATGGCCACGGCTCCAAAGAAGTAAATCTATACAGAAAAATGGGGAGCTAATAACTGGTGAGTTATTAGCTGGTACATCCTAATCGAGTTCTGGGGTCCTTATACAACAAGGCTATTAAAATTCAGTTCCTACCAGTGCCACCCTAAACTTCAGCTTTCCAAGCAGGAGACGATGCCAGCTGAGCAGAGCAGTGCCCTCCTGTGCCTGAGCAGCGGGCTCCTCTATCAGGCCAGGTGCTGCCCTAAGGCTGTTTCTATTCTAACAACCACCGTGCCCTCCAAGAAACAACCCCCGGAGCTCCAGGTTAGAAACAAGAGCATTTGGCAACGTGAGAACACATCCGTCCAAGTCCCTTCCAAAAGAAAATTGAGGCAGACGTGCAGAGCTGCCACGTCCCAAGGTCAGCATCACTCCACCAACACACGAACGAAAAAGCTCTTTCTGGTGGCCATCGTGCTCGAGATACCTTTCGCAATTCCCTACCTAAGCTGCATTAAAAATGCCAACATTTCTTGCAGCCACCACCCCGCCGTGCCGCCTGCTCGCTGGAGGCTCAGGATGCTTCCTGCAGCCGGGCCTTGCCATTTCCAAATGTAATCAATGCTGACATTATCAGGAGCATGAAGCCTAAGCACCATTAATTGTTAATGAGGGAAGTTTAGCTTTCGGGTGTTGTAGCTAGTGAGAGAAAAGATGTCTTTGAGCAGCTATTTGCTGCATGAGGCAAATTCTGGGTTATTGGAAAAAAAGAAAAACAACACCGCTACTGGTTCGGGCCCTACCCCCCACCCCATGTCCTAATTTATTTTAAAATAATGAAGGGAAAAGGGAAAAAGTCCTCCAGCTTTCAGAAAACAGTGAAGGAAAACACTGTTAGGGAAAAATCAAAGAGAAAGCTCGAGTTGGTCTGAAAATCCTGCAAGAGCAGCACTGCACTCCCCCAGCTGGCTGACTTGCAGTAGCTAACCAGCAAAGAGGCACAAATATATATGTGTTTATATATTTATTTTTTACCTGACTGCTTAAACTCTTCCGTGAGGCTGAAATAAACACAACATACCTGCTGCTTCCTTTCAGAAATCCATTCTTGTTAACATCACCCTTGTTTTGAAAACGTAGCAGGATCTACCTGTACCACATCAGCATACAAAGTACCGGAGGGACCGGCCCTTCCCCAAAAATCTTACAGTTCACACATGCAAACAACACGCACAACCAACAACAATCCGTAAGGCCCAGCTGCACAGCCTGCAAAGCTGCAGAGGTTCAGCTGAAGCTTTCATGAAGCACCTAAATTGGAAATCCTCATTTGTAATGCCCCAAACCCGGCAGCGGAGTGGCAGAGCTCAGCAGGGCTGTTTGGGGATTTTTGGCGTTTGTGTCCAAGAAGCAGCAAGCAAAGGCTGAGCTCGATGACCGAAGTCACAGCTCCTGCTCCTTTCCATGGGTGGTTTCCAGGAGCAGTAACATTAATTTAAAGCTCAAACCCTCCCTGAGGGTCCCTGCAGATTAACAGAAGGAACAGCAGCTATTTTCATTACATTCTCCTCTGGGGCTTGACACGAACAATGCGGTTGATGCCACTGTGATAACATGCTCACCTCTGCCTGACATGCTGCCGTAGCACATCCTGCTCTATGAACGAGGGCCTCAGGAGAAGACATGCTAGGCTGCTTTTTCATCCTTCAAGAGGCAGCTACAGCACAGTGACATTGCTGTTTTCCAGCTCTGTGAGGGTCTCAAACCATGCTCCCATCCCAGGGAACCACTTGTGCAGGGTAACAGAACAGAGCCAGGATGCTGGAGGTGACAGCAGGGCACATTTGTACAGCAGAACAGCAACCTCCAGTGCCCACATTTCATCCAGATGTAGCCTAGCTATCCGGTACAGAGGGAATTCCTAGTGAGGTTAAACAAGACAGCGTTTCCAGCACAGTTTGATGCTTTACCAGAGCCCATAAGCTAGAAAAAGTTTCATTTCACTTCTTCCTTCAGCTTCAGCATTTCCACAAGGCTTTGATTTTCCAGGCACCAGCCTGAGTCCCCAGACAACTACTGCCAGGGAAGGGAGATGAAACATGTTTTTGGTTTTTGTTTGTCTCAAAGCAGCAGATGATTATGAATCACAGTCACATTTTGCAAAGCTAATGAACATAACCGATACGTGCCGGTCCTCTTTCAGATGGCAGGAATTGTGGGAGGAGAAAGAGCATTCAGAGCAAGGTACAGAGCAAATTGTCACAGCAGCTGAATCCAGACAGACTGGATACAGCAGGACTCAAATCACTTGCGTGGATTTTGGATGCTCGTGTTCATCTGGTTAACGCTTTGGAGCAGGCACACCAGTCTGCTGTGTTTCTCAACAATTCACTGCACAGATTCACCGTATCTCTGTTTTAATGCTTTCCTGGTAGTTTAGGTACTTAACTGTGCCCTTGGTCAATCAGCCCAGGATCACAATATTAATGTCTGAAGACATCAGATAGCCAGATAAATTATAGCTGTGTCAGATGAGACAAGCACACAGTGAGAGTTGGGTATTAAAAAATGTTTAGACAAAGGTGACATTCCTGAAGTGAGGCAGTTATTTTCGAAGCATTTTGAGCAGATCAAGAAAGGGTAAAAGTGGGTTGATAATTACCAAAGTCATGCTGTCGAGCATGTTCAGCTCTAACACCTTTCAAGATTGATGATAGTTTATTGGTAAGAACGGGTGCATTAAACGTGTCATCGGCAAATTTAGTAACCATCAGGGCTACCTCGGGGGGCTGAGGCTTCTCGTTGCTGGTTTCAGAGTTTCTGCCTGCAGTCCCCAGCCCAGCACAGCCACGCACGGCGCCTCCCTGCTCGCAGGGACAGATGCTGCCATGCACCCCTCTCTGGAGAGGCACCACAACCAAACTCCAAAGTGTCTTGCACAAACACTTTGTCTACAAATTCCCTTTCTGCTTGGGTCATCTGATAAGACCAGACCCCTCCACTTTCTAACCTGTCCTCAGACACAGAGGATGCAGCTTCCAGACATGCTTTGATCTGCATGTTCCCACGTAAATATGAATTGGCTGAACCTGATCTCCCATCAATCTTACATCTCCACTTTGTTCTTCCACTCTTGTTTTCTATCTCAGCGCAGCTTTATGTTATGTTGTTACCCTGGAGCTGTGGCGTAATCCTTGTTATTTACTTTCTAGTTTCCTACTCAAATCCAGACTTATTTTCCCCTCACAAGTTGCTTGCTTTTTTTAATTTTGCAATTCATTTTCAACAGCTGCAAAAGATTGCCCTGAATATAAAATGCCTGTCTCTAAAGTTATCCACAAATCCATAAACATCTTGGCTGAGATGCAAATAACGTAAGCTTCCTCGCTACATCTTGTTCAGAGACAAATGTCGGGGGCTGAGGTTGCAAACATCCAGCCCATTCTTCCTCCAGCAGGATGCGTGCATTTGGGTACCAGGGCAGGGGAAAGACTGCCTGGGACAAAATCAAGCTACCTGGCAGTGTATTTGCAAAGCCTGCTGTGTGTTTTTTTGTTCTGTACTAGACACTTGACCTCATGTCCTCTAGAGCAGCCTCTGCTGACTTCAGCAGGTGCTGGTTTGGGTCCTGGGAGCACCAGTGCCAGGAACTTTAGGAGAACAAACCCTGTTCTTGCAAATTTGAAGGCTGGTTTTGCAAGCTTATGAGGTATAGCTATGTTGGATTGGCTTTAGAAGAGGAATTAAATGTTATCTGAACAAAACCTGAGCTAAGTAACTACAGCATTAAGCAGGATTAGAAGTACAGGCCTTTGGAGTTGCAGGTTTAAAGCCAAGTTCAAACCACCTGAACACAGCCTGGCCTGGGGCACAAGCCCTGAACACGAGCAGGGGAGTCTGCACCAAGGCAGATTCACTTTCTAACCAGCAAAAAAAGACAACCCTCCCCCCCAGCCTGTCCCTGAATGCTCTGAGATTGAAGAATATGCCTTTTATGCTCCATTTCCACACCCTTCAGATGCACTTGGTTCTCTTACCACCGAGGATGCTGGAGGGTTAACATGGTGATGCTCTCAGCAGGAGGAAGGAGGGGAGACCCCAGGCTTCAAAAACAGCTGCGGGGCACGAGCACTTTTCATAAAAAGCCCAAATTTCCAGAGACGCTGGCTTTGAAACGCATTACCATGTGGGTCATGCAATTTGAAACAACTACATAGCCCTAAAAATGTGAGTTGTCTGCTAATGATCCCTTTTCCAAGCCTCCCCTGAAGTTCGGCCCCGTGCAAAAATGCCAGCTCCAGAACCAGGCTCGAGTGGGGCATCCCTCGGTGCCCCATTTCCAAGCTGCACCATCCCAGCAGGATCTGTGTGCATGTGTGAGCACCGTGATATATGGGGCTGAGGCATATAATCGGAGCAACAGTTCAGTCTGCTGATATATTAGTGTAATACTCGGGATGATGCAGGAGTATCAGAACAGGCCCATCTGATAACATGTACGAGTAATTCATCACCAGAATGAGTTGCTTCAATGATGTATTACACGGGAAAAAAAGAATGCACCATCTAAGGGGGGAAGCAGGTCCAGCAGAAGAGGAAGCTGTTTGTTTCCAGGGTGAGACATTCACAGAACCTAAAGGGCTTCTTTGCCACCAAGGCGCTGGCGCTGTGCAAAAAAACACATGATGAGCATCCACCCTCTTCGTTCCCACCCTCCAGTACAAATCTAGTTAGCTGACCACTGGAAACAAAAGAAACTTCATTTCTTATGCACTAGAACCACAAACCTGAGTGCTGCATTCAAAATTCATATCGAGAATCCCCTCGGATTTCTTCAGAGTGTGAGATCTGCAGTTTAAGCACTTTACAACTTTGCAGATTAAAATAAATTCAATGAAGTGATTTTTAATTTCTTATTCTATATTGATTTGCTTCTTTCTTTTGGCTTTTTGAGCCTATTTAATTTAGTCCAAACTAATCCAGTTGGCTAGTGGGAGGAACAGAAGGGAGGGGAGAAGAGCCTCTTCCTTATAAATCCAGAGTGGCTTGTGTTCTTTAATATCTGCAGTATATAAGTTCTTTGTATCTATAGAGATGACAGAACAGTGTAATGAGAAATGATTTTGAAGTAGTAATTTAAACCCTATACAATAATGACAGCGAGAGATAAATAATTAATGTTGCACATTTTTTCAGTGCTTTTCATCTCAGGGAGTCTCCAGACTCCTTGCAGTCTTTATAATTGACAAGAATCAATTCACTCAGCGTTCACACATCCATCCAAACAGAACACAGGCCCTGCAAAAGAACATGCGGAGAGAGACTGCAGACAAGGCTGGGGCTGGAAGTAACGAACAGTTCACAGCAGAGGCGGTTTCAGGGACACAGGGAGCTATTGGCCTAACCAGAATTTGGCTGGAACTCACAGGTTGTCATCTGTGTATTTGCAAAATGTGTCACCGAGTGGTTTGGAAAACCCTCGGGTTTGTCTTACTGCTCACCTGGTGCAGGTGAGCTGATAAAGGAAATAGATCCATCGCCGAATTGCCAGGCAGAAGGCCAGCCCAGGTGAATCCAACACCACTTGCTGATGTTTAACACCCAGTGAAAACAGACAGTGCTCAAAGCCTCCTCTAAGAGCTGAGCACTTGCTGCTCTTACGCTATAAGCTGGCACCAGTCACCCCGTGGCACGTTGTGATTTTATTTCTCTTCTTCCTGAGCCACCCTTCCAGTTCAGAAATGCAATTCCCTTTCCTGAGCAGCCCACCTTCCCAGCACACCCAACTTCTACCCGAAGTGCAGCCTGCTGATTCTGGAAGCCTGGTGGGGAATACAGCTGCAGAACAGCAGCAGCATTAGCAATTACTCTCCCCATGAACCAGCGTACAAGAAAGGAACACGTTAAATCGTACACGCTACAAAAGCAGAACCAGCCTTGTTTTTGAAGAGACTCACACAAAACATTTCATGCTTCCCCTCCACTACCACCTTTTTCATGCCTGGAGAGGCAATAATTTCATTAAGTGATTAAGTGCTTTTATTCCTCTGACTCATAGTTCATAAGACATACGAGCATGAATATCAATTAGTGTTTCTTACAGAGAAAATAGGACAGAAAGAAAACATTCCCGAGCAGTGGATCAAGCATGAGCTCAACTGTCCTTAGCACCCCGGTGTAAATCAGCAGCAGCTCTGTCAACACAGCTGGAATACGTGGGGGTAGAACCAGTCCAACACTGGAAGGCACCCAGCAAGCTCAACTTCAAACTGCTCGAGCAGCTCCACTAGCAGCTAACAGAGCTAAGTCAGGACTAAAACCTTTCCTTCAGGTGAGTTCTAATGCCGGAGTACAACTACTTGCTTCCCCAAAACAATGGGACCAGCTAGTTCGCTTCCTCTCCAAACTTTCAGACAGGTGAAGCCTCGATGAAAGCTTGACAGAGATGTTTGAGGAATGACACAGAGCAATGATTGTTTCATCGGTGGGCGAGAGATCCCCGTGCAACTAATCATTTCCAAAATACCTTGAAAAATGGCACATACCATCTTGCAGAATTACTGCTATTGGGAGGTTTCCACACACACACCCCCTGATGGAAAAGAACAGAGTTGGAGCTCAGCTGAAGAGAGGGCTTCAGAAAAAGATGGATTTTGTTTACGATGCCCACCAGCGAGCTAGAGCAGGGCGAGCACAGGCTGCATTTTGCCTGCTGCACTCTGAGAATAGCAACCTCCAGCCTCCAGAAATAGCATTTCATTGCCTCGAGTAGCAGAAGTTTGCACTTTTTTTTTTTAATTAAACCAGCTTGACTGGAAAACATCCATTTATAAAGGAAGTCTCAATGAGGAGAAATTTGCATTTATTGATACCTAAGCATTTTAATTCAGTGCTCTTTGCTCATTTTCAGCTAAAAGCTGCATCATTAGTGCCCTCCCAAGATTTCAATGGCTGAGGCTGTAGCCATCAAGAAACATCCATTAACTGTTCCTCACCCACTACTGTCCTCTTCATTTGAGATTACTTTTCTTAATCGTCCCAGATTTCTTTCCTGGACTTCAGACATTAAGAATTGCAGTAATTAGGTACCTAAATAGAAGGTAGTTAGAAATGGTGTGGCTGATGCATTTTAGATTATTTACGTACATCATCATTTCCTGATTGGAAAATGCTTTATTTGAATGTATTTAGAGAAGTTAAACTGCTTAGATTTGATTTAATAAGATAGTAACTTTATGCTTAAAACCTTCCACTAATGGAACACTCCTCAGCGCAGTTTCTGGAAGTTTGATGAATAATAAGGGGGTTTGTCTTAAAGCATTCACATTCCACTCAGCCTGATTTAAGTAACACTTGAATACAGTTTGCCACTGCTCTTAAATTCCCCTTTGCTAGACCAGAGCTACTCAATTTCACTAGACTGGAGCTGCTTGATTTTAAAGAAAATCAGAATGGAAGTTATTGTGAATCCATGTGATTTTAACTAGCCTTATACCAACCCAGGATAGCACAGTTAAACTGCTGTAAAACTTTAAATAACGTAAGTTCAGCTGTTTCTTTTTCTAGTGTGGAAACCCCCTGATTTTCCATGGAGCCATGTGCAATAGTTTGGAAATTCAATGTTTCAGTTGCTTCTGCTTCTAAAAAACTAATTGCAAAAAGGGAGCAGCTGAAGAGATAGGAGTTTGATTTTTTCTATTAGGGATCCTACAAGGAAAGGACTAAAATAGATCCTCAAAAGGTGCAGGTTTCTCTGAGCCCTAGAAGCATTGCCCTGGTCTGTACTAAATCCTGTTTTCTCTCCCTAGGAAGTAATTTCAATTTCAACAACTATCAATCAATTACAAAATGGCAAGTATTAATTACCACTTCATTTTATGTTTTCGTTGCTAAATTTATATGCCAGCAACAGCTACTGGACATGAACTTTCATGGAAGGCACAGTACTTTTCTCCTGGGCTTAATATTTATCATCTAGATCAAACAGTTTCAGAAGGTTAAAGGAGGCAGGGTGCCCAGAGACATCAGCTGGACCACATTCTGTATTTGTGATGCCTTGCTTGCCTCCAAGTTACGGCCTTTGGGGATGTAGCTGTAATAAATAATAAGCAACATCTATTTCATTCTTTAAAATGCCTGTCCAATTTCTGGAAGAAACATTCCCTCAGTGGAGCTGGTTTTTCTACCAGGCACAAACGAATACGCCCTGAGTCAACTTTGGCTGCCAGAGCCCCGCAGGAGCCGGAGGAAATATTCCACTTACGCTTCTGAAGTTCTGGCTCCAGATGACAAAGAGGCGTGGGAGTTGCAGTAGTTTCATTCAAGCCCACAAGTAAATGAAAATCAGCTTCTAACCACACGGGCCCTTACACTACACCAAGCAAGCACCGACTGTCGATTCCCCTGTCACAGCACCACGCTGCAGCCTTAACCACGAGGGCATCCTCCAACAAAAGGTCACGCAACTGCAAGAAGAGAAAAACACTTTCAGAGAATAGATGCTGTAGCAGAAAACGTTCAGAGAAGGACACTTGTGTCAGAGGAGAGCCAAAACTGAGGCCACCCACTACAGTACTGCTTACTCAATGTGTAAGCTCAGGAGAGCACCTATTTCTTTTGTAACTATGAGCAGGAAAAGCTGCAGAGATTGAAAAATAATTCTATAAGACCCATCACTCTATTCGTTTTTCAAGCCTATTATGGATGGAATCAGACAAGCTTCCTGAGTGGCAGCAGGGAAGGTAAGTTTGGGCTTGTAATTCAGTATTTAGCAGAGGGTTTAAAGCAGCTTTGGCAACCACTGAACACACGGAACCTTCAATAAGTTGCATCCAGCCAGATGCACGTTTTTGCCTCCTTGCTGTTCTCTCAGCACTGAGGTCTCATCTCAAAGGTCAGCCTGTAGGAAACCCGAGCCTAGACAAGAGCTCCTTCAAATCAAGGTAACTTTTTGCTGCATTTCAGTGTGCTTTGAGTTAGGAACCAGGAAACACGGACAGTATTAAACCTGCTCAAAACACCCACGGACAACTGGTGCTGAGCTGCTCTCACACATGCAGGAGAGGAGAAGCACACGGCCAGCTGCAGCACCAAGCCAGGAATCAGAGCCTCCTGACCATCAGCAGCAACCTCCAGCACAGCCTCTGACAAAAGGTTTTACATGGCATAAATAAAAGATGAGCTTTGCTAAAATGCAAAGGGGCAGACGACAGTCTCTCAGCACTAAGACTTGCCTTGTTGCAGATGTACACAATTATAACTTCCAGAGAGGCTCAGCTTCGAGTTCCTCTGGGACACGGGACGAAGCCAGTCGATGATTGTGTCTCCAGCAGGGATCATCCGCTCCTCAGTTTGATCTGTTGTCTGCTCACTTTTCCTTTTAGCGCTTGTGAATGAGAACAGCATGGGTGATGGCCACTGCTATCGAGTGCCACTGATTCGTTTTCATCCCCGTGTTGATTTCATATTGATCAGTGAACTGAAAGACTTAGTCAAATTCTGTCTCGGCAGAACTGCCCCTGATGCTTCTGTTCTGATGTTTTTGAAGAATGCAGAGCTCTTCCCTTCTCTCACAGTTTCTGTGCAGTGCGTGGTGAAACTATTTATCACATAACACGGGCCCTGTTGTGCCACTGTACAAGTACAGTAGCAGCAAGGAAGCTCAGAACCAAGGCTTCAGTCTAACAAGAAACATTAATGCAAAAGTCAGATTTAGGAACATTATCCTTGTCTTGCGCATGCAGGATTTCAGGATGGAAAGATGAAGGCTCTAAGCCTTTTTGCACTGATGTAGATATGTAAAATTTCAGAATTAAACCCTATCCCTCAGTCCAGTGTCTTAAATGCAAGAAATTTTCCATTTACATAGATGCACGGCATACACAATACCTCAGACTGCCTGGAGAGACTGTTCAGATGGTCTGGCATCAACAACTGTGGGTAAAGAAACAGCTTCCCCGTCCCTCCTTCCCAAGGCAAAACCAGCATGAGCAACATTTTGGGTTTTCATCTGCCAGGAGCGGTGATTCTTGTCTCCCAGGGCACTGAGCAGACAGTCGGCTGCTTCCTGGCCAGGTCAGCAGTTTAACGTGCCCTAATAAATATCCCTCCCTTGTCCAGAGTATTTGTGATAAAGGCTAAATGCATGATTTTGTCAGCGATGTTCTTACAAGCCTGTGGCCTGTAAAACTGTCAAGACAAATGCCTTCTTACATTTTCTTTCTTCAAGTTGAGCTAACAAGTAGTTATCAAGGGAAGCAGCTTAGATAACCATTGACTGTGACTGATCACTGGGTGGACCTTCCTCGGTGCCCAGCACTGTTCAATGTTTCTTTTTATGGTTTCTCCCCTGAATGTGAAGGCAGAGTTAACTCTAGGAGCTGCAGTAAACACAGGAGGTGAGCTCAGCACCCTACTGCTACAGAGAAGGCACATCAGGAAAATAAAGCACAGAAGCTTTTGAACACTGGTCCTGTGAAAGCAGCAGCCTGCCAGCAGTGGCCTTGGTTTACTCTCAGAGCTGACAGCATGTGCTCTGGCAACAAATCCTCCCAGCTCCATCTTCTTCCTCCATCTGAAGACACACACCACCAGCAAACCACCCTCAATGTAGCTGAAAGCAAGCAGGCAGCACAGTGGTTTGTTGGTATGCAGACGTGTTTGGTCATACTGGTGGTTTTGGCAACATGGACACCCTTCAAATCAGAGGACGTCTTTAGCTACCAAATTTATTTGCATCAGTCATGAAACGGTTGTCGAAAGGAAACCACTCAGTCCTTACTGACCTGTGCTAACTGCCAACAGCACCAAACCCAGGCCCTTTCAGTAGCCCAGCTTGAGCCATGAACAGCAGGAGGGAAAAAATAACATTTCTGCCTCTAGAAAGAGGTGAACACAATATACCCGTGCCTGTTTATTACCTACAGTCTGTTATAGCAGCAATAATTCCAGGTAATATAGACAGGGCTTTTTATTATACAGTCTGAGCAGCCAACAGTTCAGGGTTAACAGGTTATGTACCTGTACCTGTTTATTATGCAGTCTGTTGTATTGCAGATTAAATTGCTTTTTCTTCCTGTGTACAAAAGGACTGAGATTTTACATCTTCAAGCCAAACACCATGTCTTTCACGAGCAATTCATTTCTTCTTGGGCTATCCCCTGCTTTTCCAGCACTTGCTTCTTACACCAGACGTGCCTGCTAACTGCTGCTTCTGAAGAAAGAGCTTCGTGTAGCTGTGGTCTCCTTTCTGACAGCTCTGCGATTTTGCTGGCTTAAAGCAACATCATGTCTTCTTGTATCACACTATCTCAATCAAAATGCAGACACGGAATGAATATTTGATGCTGTGAGGCAGCCAAGGACCAGTAACACAAAGCTCGCTGTTTCAAAGGCAGCATCGTTGTGCAAAGTGTGGTTTAGCTACAGCTCCTTTCCTCCTGCTCTTCATTACAGGTGTACCACAGCTTGGTCTTAAAAGTTCATTGTGATAGAGAATGAACTAAACACGTGAGAATAACACATTGCAAAGACAGCTGAGGACCTGGCCTAACCCAATCCATACCCTAAAAATCTGCCAGCTGAATCCCACCTTTGGGCTTTACATTAAATGGAAGTTTGACATTAACTTCCATTCAAAGCCAGCTCATTCCAGCAACATCAAATAGGTACAAAATTAGTACAAGAGGGAAGGCGAAAAATCAATTTGGAGTAATTCTGCTCTTACATGATTGTACTCAGTCTTTTTCTACCTGTTATTGCATATTCAATTCCAAGTTTTCAAGGCCTTAAAAAAAAAAAAAGTGGTGCTGGAAGGAATTAACTTCCCCTTGTTCTGCTAATAGAGCAATTTTCCACTTGTCACTAAAAATATCAAGGTAGGAGGTGTTTGTAGCAAGGGTTACATGTGAAGAAAGGGAATTTGGCACAGGCTGCAGGACACCATTTGTCTGCAAATGTCAAAATTTCATGAAAGAGACTTCCTCCTTTTTCACAGACAAAAGACCCTATGGCAAAGCAATTCACCTCCAGGTCTCTCTCTATGCTAGAGATGGAAAGAAAACATGGGAAACCCCATGTACACCACCCGGGAGCTGCAACCTGCGGGAGGATTAGAGGAATAGCTTCACTGGGCAGGGCTAATCCCGAAGCTCATCCCCTCTGTTCCTGCTGCTCACCTCCAGCAGCCCCAAGCTCAGCTGATTTCTTTAAGAATTCATTTCACTAGTGTCAGAAAACAGCCCACAGAAAAAGAGGTGGGAAAAACCAGCAGTTTGCAGGTCTGAAGGAAAACAACATCACCTCTGCCTAGGTTTCTTCTCCCCAAAACAGGGTGGCAGCATCCTTTCTTCCACATCTCTTTATTCATCAAAAAGCAGGACTCAGTGCAACAGCACTGATTTCAGGCAGCAACGACAGTCATTAGTCTAACAAAATAAAACCCCGTGCAACTACAGACCTCCGTCTGCTGGACTGATTCCAGGTGACACGTCCCCTCCTAATGCCTCACCTCCACATTCTCCCTGGCCTGTGTCGCAGCGAGTCCTTTAAAAGCAATCAGCCCTGGCGAACTCCTCTGCCTCCTCAGGAATGCAGCAGGGTTCTGAGAGCAGTTCTATCTATATGGAAATGCAGATTTCAAATATATCCGTCCTAGTAATCAAATCCAGAGGAAACAATCCCCTAATATGGAGCTAATAAAAGTTGATTTTAAGTCAGCCTGAAGCTATAAGCAATAAGGAGCAGATTTATAATGGTGGCTTTCATTATTGCTGTTTTTGTTCTTTACAGTCTACACCAGCATAAACCTATCGGTCAGCTTGCTACTGAATTTACCTGCATTCCCTAACCTCCCTTAGCTCAAACCACGCTTCTTCTTCTATTCAAATGGCTCTAAATCTGTCTGCCTACACAGAGAGGTTAGGTAAATCACGGGAACTTTACTTACTTCAATGAGCAGGCGGAGAGGCGAGGCAGGCAGCCTTTCCCCACGTCCCCCCAGCCTCACGTTTGCAAACACAAGCCCTGTGCCATTAGAAGGCAGCGCTGCCCCCAGAATTATTGAGCAGTCATCGAGATCCTTTTTTTCAGGTACCAACAAGGCCATTAACTTCAGAATGAAAAACAGTCACTGTAACTGCACGAGATGAAAACATGAGAAGTCCTGGGCCTTAATATGGCCAAGTGAATTTTTCCTGTTTCCTCCATCCCTCCTTGCCCCCGGGGATCTTTCACTATAAAAAGCAGCGATCATCTCGTATTGGAAACAGAGTCAATCCCTTCTCGGTGGTGCAGTGAGGTGCTTCCACAAAACCCAGTGGAAGATGTTTGGCGAGGCCAAGCAGTTTACCAAGTGACAAGCAGAAGCCAGTTGAGAGAAACAGAATAAGTTTTAAAAGACGTGGATAAATCAATCCCGACCAACCCCAGTGGAATCCATCTGTCAGTATATCTAAGAAATAAGCATCCTTCCATCTCACTAAACTCCAGAGGATTAAGTCACCTTTATTAAATCCTTTTTGGGCCATCTATATCCATGGTAAACACCATTTTAAACAAAAGTCACGCCACAAATTGTTTTGACCTTTTGATTAAAGGACACTGCCACCACAGCGACTGCTGTATGATTACACTCCAGTCTCTGCACTGACCATCTATTCAGATGAGCATTATCCATAAAATTCACTACGTTACTGAAAACAATTAGTGTCAATCATTAGCACGCTTGGATTTCAAGAGGATCTTTATCAAGACCAAAGAGAGCACAAGCCAGTCTGTCAGCTCAGCTCCTATCTATATAAATTAGCAATATTTTCCTGCAGCAAAACAGGACTACAAAGGCAAATAAAAGCTTATTTTAATCAAGACATAGCACCTCCTGGGACAGTAACTATCAAACCAGCCCGGCCAGGACCTCATTTCAATCAGCCAGTCGAGGAGTGAAGCTTTTCTGCAGAGCTCACACAGACATAGGACATGCGAGCCTCAATCTCCAGGCCTTGTCTGCTGCAGCTTCATGTGGCCAAGGTTAAAAACAGATCCTTCCACTTAAACCCTCCATCACACCGCCACCTGGGACTGCAGAGGACCAGGTGTTTTGTCTAAACTGATCTGGGCTGCTCAGCTCCACTTACAGAGGGCTGGAAGGATCTGCCAGGCAGGAAGGTAAGCGTATTGGAGCTGCACCTCAAGAAATGTAGAACCACGTCAGGAATATTAGGGTTGTACTCATTACAGGAACAGCAGGATGATCAGACCCTCTGTCTCCAGGGCTGTCAGTCTTCTTTCACTGCCATTAAATTCACTTGAAAGGAGCTCTCTGAAGATGTTAGGCTATGCAAAGTTTCAGCCTGCTGTAGCATAGAGGCAGACATGCTTCTCAACAAAACACTGCTTTTGCACAAAGCTGAGGCATAAAACCCCCAAAATTTGGAACACGTCATTCATAATTATGAAATAGAGCAGCAGCTAGCAATCAATACGTTACTGCATGAACACAGAGATACAAAACTAAAGTTGTAGTGAAACCTCCCTTTTTAAAATGAAAACCTGCTCTTCTGTTTGCCAGCTGGGGCTGCAGAGATCTTGGCTGATATTACAAAATGTCAGAATGGAAGAGGCCATATCCTGCGCTGTGATTCCCAATTTAAGAAAAAGATTTACGATCTCAAGGCCTACATCGCAGTATGGGTGATTAGAGGAGGTGAATGGGAACCTTAGGCTCCAGCAGCAGCGAATGAGAAAATTCACTTGATTTCCAGGAAAAAGTCAAAATGCAAATTCGGAACGTGAGAAGACAGGAGCCCGGCCGAGCCTACCCATCCAATTAGGGCAGCTTCAGGAAAGTCTTCCTTTTTTCTCATTTAGATTTGATCATGAGCTGGGAATAAATCAGGGCTACAATGAAGGGAAATGATTTGGTGGAATTCAAAAAGACTTCAAGAGTTATTTAGAGGCAGAATAAAGAAGACTTTATTGGTTAGCAGCTGTGTCAAAGGGCTGAATGAATGCCAGAACTCCCACGTAGACCTGTTAAGGTATTCTGTTCAAAATGACCATTTTTCCAGTGGCTACTTCTATCAAAAAGGTTCACTGACATGATTTTAAAAAGGTCCTTTGGGGAGGAAAAAAGGAAAATCAAGTTTTAAGTGCCATTATTCCACTTTAGCACAGGCAGAAGGGTTTCAGGACTAAGACTTAAAGTAGTTTTAGATCCGTTTCACCTTTTTCCTCCCCAAAATTACTTTGCAAATAACACGAGACTGTTAACAGTTTCAGAAGGAGCAGACAACTTGTGTGGCTAGTTTCCAGGTGCTCGGCACAGCCCCTTCCTGAAGAACTGTGGGCATCATACAGGCCCTAGTGGTATATTCTCCCAAGTTTGTTTTAAATAGAAGCATGCCGGGTGTATTTCCAATATTTCTGGATGCTCTACATCCTTACAGGATTTCCCTCAAGGGACAGAGCAGCTAGAAACACGTCAGAAACAGACTCCCCAGGGGAGCAGCATTTCTCTGGCATACACTAAACAATATTTCCTTTTGGCAACACGACAGCTTTGCCTGCAGTACGAACAGGTGAGCCTTTGCGCATGACTCCTGTGTGATGCTGTCGAACCGATGCAAAACAAGAAGCTCCTGTGGTTACTGAGCTTAAAAACACCGACTGATTTTTCAGAGGGATGACACAAACAGAATTACGACGGCGATTTATTTTTTAAGTGGAGGACAGCTGCCAGAAGTCCTCGATACAGCTATTTCAGTGTAAGAGTTTACTATTTGGACAAGGGAACGGTAGATTAAACTCCCAGCAAACATCTTTTATTGAACATTCACTCGAGATACCTGCTGGGAATGTTCCTAATCTTGCCCCCTCCCTGTAAGGAGGACTTACTCCCCAGAAACACACACACGATTAGAAGCCCAGGTTAGACAGCAGTACAAACAGACCCACACTTTTTTTGTTTACAGAGGCTTGGTCTCCAGTGCTTGAAAGGACTAAATTGCCTGTAATAATAACTATCAAGAAAGCTCTTTGGGTAATTAACAAAGCTGACATGACAAACAAACCCAAAGAGGTAATTCCCCCAGCTCTAACATGAAATTAATGCATTATTTCTGCCCTTTCAACGCCGTAGTCAGAAAAATCCTGTAAGTCAAGGCAGGAAGGTCGACTCCATGACTTCATTGCAGGCAGATCATCAATAAACTATTTGCTGCACAAGGTATGTTTATTTTGTCAATGTGCTGGCTCCCTTTTCGCCAAGGAGTTTTGAATCAATACCCAGCCATTGAGACTTCCAACCTGCTTCGATTTCATAGATATTCCTGTCCAGTGGAAAAAAAATATCAGTGGAATTAAACTGCAAGACCATCCTCCGCTCTGTCTTAACTCGGAATAAACAGAAAAGAGGTGGAAGAAGTTTTCATTAGAAAATCTATCACAGCCAAGAGCACTCTCGTTGGTATCTCCACCTCTCAACACAAACTCCTTCATTAGCTGTCCCCTTCAGCATCCTATGTTCTCAGAGCTGCCCACAACTCAAGAAATCTTGCTGGGTATTTTTTGCATGCATGAGAACAAGACGTGTTCTAGTAGCAGCCTGCCCCAGAAGTAAATGCAGGCTGCATAAAGAAATGGTATGGCAATTTAAACCACGTCTCAGCATTAACTTCTGCCAGAGCTTGCGGAAAGCAAATGAAGCCCACTTACTCATACAAGCACATGCATTTCTGAGAGTACAACGAAGTGCATTGAATTGTCCCAGTGTTCAGAAGAGCCACTTCCACCAGAATTCAGAAGTTCGGACTCCAGGACAGAAAAGGCGTCCCTTTCTCTGTCCTCTTCAATGTTTAAGTCACCCATTTTTCAGGGTGGCAATGATGCTTTGACTGTTTTCTTCTCTAGACTGTTTTTGTTCACTGCAGAACAGGACTCTGCTGTGCCTAGCGCAGCTGCCTTTGTAGTCCCTTACTGTGTGTCTTCAAAGCACCTGAAACAGGCAGAACTTTGGGTACAGACACTGCAAGCAGAGTCATATTCTGTTACTGCCAGTTTAAGATGGAGTAATAAAAGCTTGTTGACTTAGAGCAAGGCAAGCTGCACTTCACTTTATTGGTCTTCATTAGAAATACAAGTTTTAAAAAACCCTGAAGCTTCCAGTCAAAGAGGTTGGCAGGATTAATAAATAAGGGACACATTTTAATGGGGGTGTTGTCAGCATCACCCCTTCTTTTACAAAATAGATGTGACAAAAGACAACATTCTCCCCACCCCTTACTGCATTTCCAATACATTTCAGAAGAGGAATGACTTTCCTAAATCCTGAACTGACATGGCTTCATATAAATCAATCTCCTATCACAGCCAGGAGAGAGGAGGAATAAGACAAAATCTCCTCAGCATCACTTTAATATCAGCATCTAGCCTGATTGCTTGTACATTCATTTAAGATAAGGTTTCCTAGCAACCCCAAGGATTTGTAATTAACATTGGGCTTTGACAAAGACAGGTTTTACATCCCCCAGTTTTACCTCTAGCTATAAACTGCATATAGTTACAAAACTGAGCTCAGTTTAAATAAAACATCTTGGAAGCAGTTTAACATTTAAATAGTGGAGACACTCCTTCAGGTGGCAAACCTGACTTAAAAATGATATTCTAAAACAGCTCTTTTTGGTCCCACATTGTAGCAATACCTTGCTGGGCTATTTCAAGTACACCAATGTGGTTTAGATAAGCCAGGGAGATTTGAAGAGCATGAATCTGAGACACCAATGCAGTTCCAGCACTGTGAGAGTCAAAATTAGATCTTTTGTTCTATGACAACAACTAAGACTAGACATCCCTCTTCTCCTAGACTCAAGTGTTACAGCTTTTGCTGTTTACTGTTATTCACTACCAATAACAATGAAGTAAAATATCCACGTAGTATCATTATTCTAATGCCTACAAGGATAGGAGATGCAGTTACTAGCCATCACGCTGCTTGAAGGAGCCAAAAGTTATCAGTGCCATTACTCAGCTTAGTTTTACGATTATTGACATTGGTAGCATTAAATCCTAACTAGTCAGCTACAAAGCCTATGGTGAAAAGCATGAAACACCCATAAGCGTCATCCTAGAGGTGAATCTATGTTACATGCACAGAGCTAAAGCCTTACTAAATAAGACAAATGGCCCCACCAGCATCTGAACAGCTAACTGCATTAAGGAAATATAAAACTGTCTCTAACAATGACAAATTCCTCACACAGCTTCAGCAGCACAGCTGGAGCCCCCACCTTCCTCACTCCCTTTCCTGGCCAACACTGAAAGGAGCAAGCCAGCTGTAATGCCAGGAGAAGTCAAAGCTGTTAACAGAAGGCAAGAGCGAGTGATATATTGGCTAGGAGAAAACAGGAAAAATCTCAGCTTAACAGTGTGTTACTTACAAGCAATTGAAGTCACACTTCTCTTAACAAGCCAACAGGAGACCCCCTGAGTAACAGCATTGTTCCTGAACAGAGGGTCACAGCCTTGTGTTAGGGGACAGGCAGTGTAGGCTCACGGCAGAATGGAGACAGAATCCAGATGTGAGGCACCCATGGCTGACAGAGGACACGGGAGAGAGAGATGCCCATGACAAGCAGGAAGGTATGCTTTCTGCACCATGTTTTGAAGCAATAATGTGCTTCTAACAGAAGCTATACAATTAGATGAAAGGAAATAGTAAAGGCAGCACCACTAGATAAACTTGTATAACCTAACATTACCACTGAAGCTGCAGAAATGAGATTTTTGATATTGCTAAAATTTGCACAGAGGAAAATCTGAATCTCAGCAACCTGACCCTTTGTTCCTGCACTCGGAGCATCATCTCCCTTTATCCCTTTGCATGTGTTCCTACAGAAGTAGTGACTGAGAGTGCTCAAACCCAGACAAGGCCGTTACTTGCCATCTTCTCTTCGTCTAAAAGAGATCCACAACTGCTCCATCCTCCCTGATGTACAGGCTTCCTCTGGTTCATTGGGGACCCATCTGCTCTGAACAAGACACAAGCCATACAAAACAAAAACCATGGTCTGCAGAGTCACACATTAATGTGAAGCTAAAGACCCACTGTGAGCCACAGCTCTCTATTTATTCCCATCCACTACATAGGCAGTGCTGTGGTGACAAGAATGTTAACTGGAAACAGCTGAAAATGTTTTACACCAACACATTTCAACTGGCTGAAGAGGGGCTTGGACAGAGCTATATGCTAAAGGAATAGCTTACTTTGCCTTACAAAACATTCACATTTGACATTGTTTATGTTCTGAAACACTGTCTGTGAACAGTTGTGGAACATTACGCTAATATTGACATACCAGCTATACTTCTATCTGAAATACTTTTCCTGAAGTCATAATATTGCCATTTGCCCACAAAAACACATTGGTTTTCCTTATGAGAGCTTTGAATTTCACTTTTTCTTTCAAGTGAACTAAGAACCAGCCAAAAGGAAACTACTATGTACATATATTTTTTATCAGCAGTTACATTTGAGTCCTCGGTAGCTTTTCAAGTATTTTGGGGTTCTCATTTTCTGAGTTCCTCCTGCCCCATTAAACTAGGGGATTTCCACAATGATAGAAGTCTTTCCCCAGCCACTTCTATTGCAGATTGTCCTGCTTTAAATCACCTCTCCATAGGCTGAAGTGGCAAAACCCAGCAATAATCAAACACTTTTTTTCCCTTTCAAGCACTGTCATAGACTCTGGGTCAATTAGGACTAGCAAAACAAAAAAGACAGGTAAAATCAGAGTGACAAAGTCAAGCTTGGTGCTGTATTAAAGCATGAGATAAAGCTCAGATGTGACAGGATTTTTAGACTAAATAACCTGCTCATCTGAGAGCTCTTCCACGTCTTTAGCTTGATCTTTTCTGTTCATATAGAGTAGGCTGCAAAGGTCAGGAAATATCAGATAGAGAAATGAGCTCTTACAATCTTTACTATTCCCAGGACACCAGGAAAAGGTAGCATCTTTCTGCAGTCTTTGGCACAACAAGCTTTTCAATAGTCAGCTTAGACATTTGAGTAACTCAAAATCCCTGTTGCATAGCCTTTGAGTTGTATAACCTTTGTATTGACAGTAGATTTTCAAGGTTGTTTTGAGGGGTTTTCTTCCCTCTCCCCTCCACACAAGCCGCCTGCATAGCTCTGCTGCTAAAAGGTTGCCGACAGTACTCAGCTTTAGAAATTGATACAGCAAAGCCTCCTACTTCTTTCAGAATATAAGCAGAAAAAGATTATTCCCTTCCTTGGAAGGAAAAAAGTAAGAAATTTGAATAAGACTCATCTCTCAAGCAGAGCCCCCTTGGCCTCATTTAGCACCCTGAGAACTTCAGGATTAAAGATGCCCTGGAGCCACACTACACAGTACCTCAGCCATAACACACCACATCCATAAATTCTATTTTAATAGTATCCAGACACTCTACTTTTTAAGCAGGAGCCAGGTTTCCAGCCAGCTGAGATCCCACATCTCCTGAGCCCATTATTTTTGTTGCTACTTACTGAAATGCCTCAAAGAACAAGAAGAAACACAACCGGGCACTACCACCACAAGACCTTCACCTGAGCTGGTTCAGGACCCTCTGTTGATCAGAGAAACCCCCTTTGCCTCACACAAGAAGTGGCAGCTTTTCTCCTTACCCCTTCCCTCATTTTTGAGTGCTTGAACTACTGCCCCTTTTCTAAAGCACACAACTTAAATATCAATGGGGATACTTAAGGCGTTAATTATCAGGGTTGCAGGCCCAGCACAGGTCTCAGGCCCAGTACTCACCCATCCGCCATTTCCCTGCTGGACAATGGCAGCTGCAACACTACGTTGATGCCATACACTAGATTATTGCACCTTAAAAATAAAATGAGCCTGCTCAGTTGGGCACATTTTCCCTCAGAAATCCCTGCCTTCAGCACCCAGCTGCCCTCGAACCCACAAAACCGTCCCTCACCCGAAGCGGCCGTGCCCAAGCAGTGCTCCCCGCCCTGGAGACAGGGGGGTTTTGTTGTTGTGGCTGTTTTTTGTTGAGTTATTCTGTGTGCTTTGGACAATGCTGTGGTGAAGCAGTGTGGGCAGAGTGTGTGCTGGTGCCTCTCCTCCCATGTGGAAGAAGGGAAAAGGGGTTTTAAGCACAAGCTCTGAGTCCCACCTCAACGTGATCCAATGGTGTCTCTGGATTCTTGCCCTTAGTGGCACTTACGTCTGGCCTGCTGGGGCAAGGCTCTGGGGTTTGGTCCTTGAGCTGCCTCTGTCCCCCACACGGAGCTGGGGGATGCCCACATACCAAATAGCGGCCAAACGGAGCTGTTTGGGCCTGTCCTGAGGCATGTGCTTCGGCTTCCGTCAAACACCAAGAGGGTGCAGAGAAAGGGGGAAAAACCCCCAGGCTTTAAAAAGTGTCATTGTTTGCCCTTTGGATCGTTCTGATGTATTATTTTATTTTATTTGTTGTTTTTATCATACTCCAACCTGGCATACTTCTCAGCATCAAAGAACATTGCTTTATTGTGACATTTTCAAATGAAAACTACATGGCAGTAATAGCTTTCTAAAGAGCATTCATTTAGCCTGGCAACATTTATATGTGGCAGGGAGAAGAAGAAGGGGAGAAAGCCCAACTCTGTGTAAAACTGGTGCTTTGAGCAAAACTCTGTGATGATTATTTAGCAAACAAGCTCCCCTATTAGAATGGCAGAGAGGAAGATTGCATATCTAGACTAAATTACACTTTACAGGGAGATGGCACAGAATGGCTTTCTGCTGAGGTTACACTTAAATTATAGCTGTTGCTAAAGCAAACAGCTCACAGTTTATATGTGAATTTGAATTATGTATCCGGCAGGCAGTATGTTTATGGAAAAAATAAAGTCAAGTCAATAGATTACTAAATTGCTACCACATTCGTAAAGGACAAAAATAGCTATAGTAGTAGGACATCAAAAACGAGCCACAAACAGGCATTATTCACCATTGTCCACGATTCTTGAGAAGAACAGCTTGGCTCTTGAACACCCCTGGAATCGTTGCCGATGATTGATTGAACTGTAAGGTAACTAGAGAAATTTCTGACTCAAGGGAGTACATAATGTTTCATCTGTGACCCTTCACACCTTAAAAATGGTTGTCCAATGTTTTGGGCAAATGCATTCTTAGGTGTACAGAGCGTGGTGGTGAATGGTTCTGGTAGGAAGTTCTTCCTCACTTGTGTGCTCTATCTGTATGGGCTCCGTTCTCAAGAAAAGTGGATTTTTTTCTCCTGTTCCAAGGAAAATCTGTTATATTTTTTTTCCCCATTGTAATTAATGTGAGTGGAGCATATAAAGTAATGAAGATCCAAGTGGTATTGTTTTATCATTAGAAAGGGAGAGGTGTACAAGTCAACACCTCTCTGTGTTGTAGTCTGAATTATCCTGAGTAGTCCTGGAAAAGACCAAGTATTCATGTACTGTGTATTTACTATGTCCTGTCTAATTGTTTTTAATTAGAACTACAAGCCTTAAATTCATGATCTGGTAACTAATGTTAGGGTCATTGGGATGTTCCACTCACCAACCTTTCTATTAGAACCAAAATAAAAAGATAATGCAAGATTCAGTCAAGCATCTTCTGTGTAACATTTCAAGCTGTCACTTAATATACAAAACATTTCTGAGCAAGGGAGATTTTTTGTACTCCCACCCTTTTATTCCTTTGTGATCACTTCCCTAACAAGGCCTTTGACAGCAGAACATGGCTTCTGACTTGTGATCAAAACTGCAATTCAGTTCCTCCCCTCATTTCTCCCTTCATTCCCCTTCCTTGTGCAACAGAAGCCATCAGGTTATACTTAATGTCTCCACTAAAAGACACTGGTTATCAAATAATTATTTCTGCTACCATTTTGTCAACCCTTTAGTACACCAGCATCAGGCTTAACCTAGGGGTTAAAAAAAAAAAAAAAAGAAGGGATGGGGGGGAAGAAAGTGTTCAAAATGTGTAGTAAAACTATTATAAAGCCCGGAATTGGAAAAGATGAGAATATGACTGGTGTGAAAAGAATCATCTTGGGAACTTCTGATGATCTTTTAGTAAAAGCAGCAGTGACACATACTGTAAGGCAGCAGAGCTTCTGAAGAGCTAGAAATGTGTGCATGTGCATCTTGAAATACTTTTAAAAACATTTTTTTTTCATAAAGTTAATAATGAACTCTCAAAACAAATCTCAAAAATGGATCATTAAGCATTGAGATGGTTGAAAAGCTCTTAAGTGTTGAACATGAAGCTATCAATGCTAAATCCTTGAAAGTAAGGGCAAGAAATGGAAGATGGAGACTGTCCTAAATATTTTCCTGTACTGAAATGTAATGGCCTACCCTTGAACTCTGAGGGAGACATGTAAAATGATGCACTAGATATTTTTCCCTGTCCATAAGTACCAGCTTCATATAAAGTGCTTCTGAGAGTGAGGAATTGCAGCTGCTGAGCAAATGGAGAACCATGAACCAGAGGCAGGAGAAAGAAAATGGAAACCTGAAAGCATATGTGGAATGTAAAGGCTGATGCTGTGTGGTTGGAA